CGGCGCCGGCCGCCACCCCCCGCCCGCAGCTCCTCTCCGGAGCCGCCGCCGCCGGAGCGTGCCGCTGCCGGTGGCGCTCCCCGGCGGCGTTACCTGTGCCCGGGGCGCCCCGCGGCAGCCACCGCCAAGAACCGAGCTCCGCTTCCGCCGCCGCAACTGCCCGCGGCGGATTGGCCCCGGCCGGCCCCGCCCCCCGCCGCGCTCCACGCCCCATTGGCTGCGGCAGCCCGCCCGCCTCGCGGGAGCGGCTGGGAGATGGAGTCCGACCGCGGGAAGGGGTCTCGCGAGAGGCGGGAAGGGGCGGTGCCCGGACGGGCTGCCCTATTGGCCGCGGAGTTGCCAGGGCAACGCGGCGGGGGCGGGGCCACAGGTGGGGGCGTGGCCAGCGGGATACGCGGTCCCAGCATCGCTCCCGCCGCCGGCACCAACGGCGGGGGCGGAGCGGGAAAAAGAACTAATTTAAAAAACAAAAAAAAAACCCGCCTTGGCGACAAGGCACTGCTGGTGCAGGGCTGCCTCCTGTTTGATTACACGCCGCGTCCCGTAACACCGTTCCCCCGCAGGTGACGTGCGGCTGGGAGACGAAGTCGGAGAAGAAAGGGCCATTTCCCGAGTGTTTTAGTAATACTTTAAAAGGGGAAAGAAAAACCTTGTAATGACAGAAATCCCTGACTCCGCCCTGCGCACCCCCAGGTCAGCGCTGTGGTCGGGTCTGGAGGGGACACTGCTCCTCCGGGGGGTGAGATCCCTCCCGGGCTTGTCCCTCGGGACACTCTCCTTGTCACAGTCACTTTCCCCAGCTTTATTCCCGCTTTATTCCCGCTCAGCGCCGCCTGAATGAGGGGTGCGGTGGCTGCTCCCCCGTCCCCGCGGCTTCAGTAGGTCCCAGCGAGGCTGGAAGAGGTCCCGAGGGTGCGGCAGGGGTGACGGGACACGGAGCACGTGAGGAACAGGCACAGAGAGGTGGCATCTTCGGGCTGGAAAAGGCTGGTTCCGAGGGAGGGCTGTAAAATCACAAACGGTGGAGAGATGAATAAATATCCCGGTTTGAGCGACACGGGGTCAATTTATCTTTCGGTAAATTTAGTTTTCAGCAGGGTCTCTTCTAACCCTTGGGAAAACTGCACTTTTAGAAGACTCTAATGTCTGAATTTGTGGAAATATTTACTTTACAGCCAGCTCTGGGGCGCGGGTCTCAAGGTCTCGGTGTTTTCAACCTCCCCGGGTGCGGGGATGAGGAGGAGCGAGACCCGGGCCCTTGTCCTAAGCTGCCACCGGGATCATTTCACGCCGTGAAAGCCACGATTCCATGGCAACAGCGAGAGGCTGCTCCTTGCCCAGCGCCACCCGGCCCTGGGGCTCTTCCCCACAGCCCGGGGCTGCCGGCGGGACAGGGGAACGGCAGGACCCGCCTTTCCCTCCGCAACCACCCGCTTCCCAACCCGGGACCGCACGGGAACGTGCCCGCTCGCCCCGCGGCTCCCCTCACCTGGGCAGAGGGAGGCCTCTGGAGCCGGGCCCGGAGGAGGCGGCGACACGTCCCGTCCCTCCCCGCCGGGCCGGGCACCGCCAACACCCCCCGGCGATGGCGGCTGGGGCGACTCTCTGGCCACCGCCCGCCAAAACTCTATGGCGGCGCGGCCCCCCTCTGGCCCGGCAGCGGAAGCGCGGGTGCCCGGAAGCGGCGGTAGCAGCGCGAGCCGGAAGGGAGCGTGGCGGCCGGTGGCAGGTGCGGTTACCAGGGCGACCCGCGCGCGGGGCGGGGGGCGCGCGGCGGCGGGCGCGCGGCTCTGAGGGCTCTGAGGGGAGCGGGGCCGCCTCCGCCCGGCGGCGGGAACCGGCAAGGACCGGGGGCCCGTTGCGGCCGGGCCGCCTCGGGGGGAAGCGGGTTGGCGGGCCCGGCCCCTCGAGCGGCCTCAGCGTCCCGCTGGTGTCGGTCAGTCAGCTACCGTGTCAGCGTAGGGAGGCCGGGGGGCTGCCGAGGCCGCACCCGGGGTTAAAGGCCCTTCGCTGATAACGAGCGGGCATCCCGATTTTATTTATTTTTTTCTGAATCATCAGCGTTGTCTCCGTTACTGCCGTTCAGCCGGTCACCGGGAGCGCAGTGCGGCGGGTGAGGTTTGTGTGGGAGCTCGCCCCGAGCAGGACGTGTTTCTGCTTTGTCCCTTCCCCTCAGGGCTCCTCCGGCGGCCTCTGCCCGCTCCTCCCCGGGGATCCCGGCACTCCCCCTCACGGCACACCCGCGCCCGGGGGGGCGAGGGCTTCCTTCCTCCAAGGCAGGATTTGTGGGATTCCAGAAGTCGGCTGTACTTTAAACTGAGTAACTGGGGGGGAAATCAGGAGGAAAAATAATTACAAACCAAACGAGGCTGGAAAAACCTACTTCAAAATACCGTAATTCAGGTTTGAGTGTGGTTTTGTTACCTCGCACAGAACACAGCTGCGTATCCTCACAATATTTCTGTGCCTCTTGCCTCTCTTTGTTCTCCACAGCGTATTCTTGTTTCCCTTGGAGATACTGGTCTTTCCTTTGATTTATGGCTGTTATTATTCAGGGAGTGTATAGATATTTCCGATCTGCAGGTGTTCAGTTGGCTGATGTGGCGTCGGGTGACAGATGTGTCCTTTTCTCCCCCGTCATTTCATATAGAAAAAGGCTTTTATTACAGTCGATTCACAGAACGGGAAAGCAGTTCCTAAGAAGGCCGGACAGTGTTTTCATTTGCACCTTCCAAGCTATGGTGTATAATTTGCAGGGAGTAAGAAGCACCTGATTCTGGGAGGAACTGCAAACCTTGGCTTTTCTGTTGCGCTTGGCAGAAGCTGAGGTTTTGCTCCACAAATATTGACTGAGCTTCCTCCTCTGCGCGCCGCGAGCGGTAGCTGTGGCCGTTCCATGGCATGTGATGCCATCTGTCTGCTTCCCAGGTGCCACCTGCAACAAATGTCGCGCGTGGCTGGGCAAGGGGCTCCTCGTGTATTAGAGTAGAGCAGCATTTCTGGCTTTATCCTGAAAGAAAGGACATTGAGATACAGAAAGAGGAAGGGGCAAGTGTCAGAGAAGGGGGAAAATGAAAAAAAAAAAACCAACTTGAATTTTTGGAGAGTGTAATAGAAAGGTAAACAGAAGAATTCAAGTCTTCCGTAAGTGTATGAGCTGTGGGCAAGGCAATCCCACTCAGCTGAGTTATGGGGAATAGGACAGAGAAGATAGAGGCATGGAAGTACACGTAAAGGGAAATAAAGAAATGGTTTCTCTCCTCCCCCCCCCCCCCCCCCCGCCCCCCCCCCCCGTCTCTGC